GGAGCGAGGGCAGCTGCGCGCCCTCCCGCCTCCAAGGCGCGCAGCGCTCAGGAAACCAGAGCTGCAGCAAACCAACGCGTTTACGCTGCTCTGCTTCCAGAACAGCCCGCCAAAAACATTCCGAGTAGGAAATCAGCCCGCTTCTTGCCTGGAGGCACTTCCGTGAGGGTCCATGTTATATTTTTGGTTAAAGATAGTTTTCAAGCAACAAAACAATCCCACAAAAAGTACAGCTGAAGCATTTAACACTAGAGTTAACATCACCTTTTCCTCCCCACATACACCATTGCTACAAATAGATGAATTGCCTTTTTAATAATAGCGACTTAACAAGTATTAAAACCCAAACAGCAGCAGCAGCACTAAAGGCAAACCTCCTCCACTTTGATCATGAAAAATTATAACTCCTAATTATGGAAATTTGGTATCTTATATCCTGGGTGGCCATGGCCTCTTTTCAACTGTAATCACATTCACTGTTTAAAATAAAGAGAAGGAAAAATCTATTTGCAAATCAAATATGCTATTGGTAACATTAATTCTAACTTTACCTCACTCCCAGGAATGCTAGTAGCACTAAGCTACTAATGCGCTAAGCTAATACAGTATAAAATACAGCCCACTACAGAACTGTCAAACTTTCTCAGAATTCATAAACGTACAAAAATTTAAACCTCACAATATTCACCCCATAGAAAGCATCTAAATTAAATGACAAAATCTTCCCTGTTCGCACTTCCAACAATGCATTTCTTTTTCCTTTTACTCCTAGGTCTTAAGGATGGCCTCAGTTTGTCAGTGAATTTACCTAGTTTCCAATGAAAAAAAAAAAAGAGCAAACTTTTGTACATTTTGTACTTATTTGCATGTATACGGTAAGCAATATTCACAAGGTATTACTGAAAGGGCTTGCAAGCAAAAGTAAATGCTACAGTCCAGAAGACAGACAAAGATAAAGAAGCTGAGAGCTCTTTCCAGAGGAGCATGCAGGTAGAAGTGGCTAGGGAAAGCTCTCCTGGGATACAAGCTGCATGGCCTTAAGTATAAGGGAAAGATTCCACAAAATATTTGTATGAAGAGGGTTTTGAGGAAACTGCTGTGAAGGGAATATACTCTTTCAGGTAGTTAAGACTTTGAATGTATGCAGCAAGAGAGTGCATTGATAGAAAAATGCCAAACTTATAGCAAGTGATACGTACTGGACAACTGTTGGCAGTTACAGAATTAGTGACTAACTGAAAAAACAAGGAAGGTATAGGCAAAGACGCCATTAAATAACCTAAAATAATCATTACACCCGACTGGATAGGAAGAACTCTTTTGCCATGAGGGGAGTCAAGCAGTGGAACAGGTTCGGGGCCCGGTGGGACCTCAACATTTTATAAAGTTACAAAGCTATATCAACCGAGCAGGAGGGGTGCCCAGGATGAGCTCCCATGATCCCTGCCAACTGACTCATCCTACAAGTCCAAGGTTTACCCATACTCATCTATCTAGACTCCTATGACAAAGACAGACCTTATTAAACATGAAGAGCTCCAAAACAATCAAGACCACATGGAGGATAGTGAAGATAATCCAGGGGGGGAGGAGAAGAAAAAGAAAACAGAAAAAAAAAAAGGGAGGAAAATAAGAAAAGATGGCTTCAGTTTTAGGGATACTACACTGACTGCAAAGAAATTATTAAAGTATCCCAAAGACAAGGGAAAGTAGTGTGACAATGAGCAGCACACAGTAGTTTTGCTGTACCTAACCTCCCGTGCCTGCTGGCACACCACCACCATCACACCACCTCTACCAGTGTTACTGTAATCCCTCTCAACACTCTGACTGTAGCTCTAGCAGGTGGACTGTGAACTCGCATGGCTGCACTGACATCAGAGAGCCCCTGCCTCAAGGGCAAAAGAGGAAAACCAGGGGGAGCAAAAAAAAAAAAAAAAAAACAGGAAACATTACACAGCATTCGTATCTGCACAGAACATTCTAGCGACGTTCAGCAAGTCGCTAAAACAACAGTGCGTGCACATGTATGTAAAAGATACCAACTGCTCCTTAATCTGAGGAATTTCTTGTTTATCATTTACAATAAAGGCAGAATTACAAATTAATGCATCAGGCAGCACAGTTACAAGAAAACATTGCTTGCAATTTATAAACAGTTTCTGCACAGAACATTCTAGCGACGTTCACCAAGTCGCTAAAACAACAGTGCGTTCACATGTATGTAAAAGATAACCAATTGCTCCTTAATCTGAGGAATTTCTTCTTTATCATTTACAATAAAGGCAGAATTACAAATTAATGCATCAGGCAGCACAGTTACAAGAAAACATTGCTTGCAATTTATAAACAGTTTCTCAATATGCTTATGCTTTTTGATATATTTCAGTATTTTCTGAGATAAGCTGATCATCATCAGTTTATGCAATCACATGATGCATTTTGTTTTTACTCAACTCTCCCCAGTAACTTAAAATTATATTCCAATGAGCTGTTAGCTGGCTATTGAGCAACAGATATTGAGATGGTACTTGCCATTTTAACACCCACCAAAGCTTGCATTTCTCTGTCAAAGCATTTCAAACTTGTATACTGCTTTTCAAATTTCCCCTCAAAGATGCAACAGAATCCTGTGCCACGTGCTCTAGGTGACCCTGCGCGTGCAGGGCTGTTGGACTACATGACCTCTAGAGGTCACTTCCAACTTGAAGCATTCTATGATTCTATGAATGACAACTACCATGGTGCCTTGTTTTCTTTCTTCAGTGTCCAATATAAATTTCCTTGTGCTTCCATGCCTCATTCACAGAACAAGACACCACAGTTGTTTTTATTGGCTTTTTTATCGTGCACATATATAAGCGTATCAGAATAGCGTCTACGTATTATCTGAAACATGGGGATAGATGTTTCTACTTGTATGTATTTGATACTTCCCAATGAATTCACTTTACTTTTTGCAACTTTCATATCCGAGCAGCAAACACCTTTTAAAGAAATCTTGATTCCTGTCTTTCTCTGGTAGTAAATACTGATGGACAAGTTCAAAAGAATAACTTAGTCAAAGGTCCATAGCAAAAATTCTTCCAAACTTCAGTTGATCTACACCATGACACTCATTTCATTTTAGCAATCTGCAGCACAAAAAAATCAGCTATTTTTCATTCTCTATTGTAAAAAATTTGAAGTTAAATATTGGGTAAGAGTATACTTTTTGTTTACAATTTTTAAACTATGTTTTCATTATAAAAAATCAACCAGCATCCTTCATCTTCTGACATTCATTCACCCAATCCATCTAAACCAATATAGTTTTACTTCTGTTCTTTCCTGTCTTTTCTGCTACCTAAAGGCAATAACCAAGTTATGCTAACTGCAACAGCAGTAAAACAACAACAAGGTCATTAAAAGATAAAAATACACAAACAGCACAAAGCTTCACACAAGAACAAAGGGTTATAAACTCACTGGAGAAAGACAGAACTGATACCTTCTCTCTAGTTCTATGATGGTAGCAAGGCTTTCCAAACTAACTATTAATTTTACGGAAGAACTATTCCCAAGTCAGCTACCAGACCACGATGTGCAAATAACCCTAGAAAATGCACCCAACTGGCAAGTTTTTTTTACAAAGATCATTTACCGAATGATAAAAAATAATAAAAAGCAACAAAGGAGTGAATGTTACAGAGTGTGTGTACGTGTGCGCATGAGTGTAAAAACTATGTACACTGGCAGAATGTGCAGGCATTTAGGCATTTTCAACCTTATCTTCACCGTTGGAATAAACACTCTACAACTAGGCTGTTCCTTACTAACCTTTGCTACAGAACTGGCCAGCAACACCTCTGGTGAGACAGGGAAAAATTTGCTCTAGTAAGTAAAAGTCCCAAAGTGGAATACTACTTTTAACAAGCTAAACTTTCTAATCCATTCATGACTGAGTTAATAACAGAAGTAAGACTGAAAGCTTAGTGGACTGTACTTCATTAAGTTGGGCTAAATGCTCAGATGAATAATATGCCTTCAAGTCATTATCTTTTTAACTTAACATTAATTTAAATATTTCACATAAATCCACTTTTAGATACCTGATAAAGGTACCTAAAAAAGACCCCTATACAAATTCCCAGATGCAAAAATTTCCCCAAACCTCAATTTACACAATCAATCTTAAGAAAACAAAAACACCAGTAAGCATTCTGTAAAACAGTTTATAACAAACAGGTTGTTCCAGGTTGTTATTTTTCTTCAAGTCTTAATTGTGAAACTTCTTCTTCTTCCGATTCTTCTTCCCTGCTGCAAAAGCTGCTTTTTCACTCATGATCTCCTGATACTTCCTCTTATTATATCTGAACAAAATAGATAATTTACTTTTAAGCATAGTAAACCAAAACGCAGGAAACGAAAACACTCTACATATAAAATTAGCCAGGTTCTTCATTTTTATTCCATGACTAATATTTCTTTAATTTTGTACACTTACACTACGTAAAAGAAAATTGATGCTGGCATCAATTATAAATGCAAATAAACTTGTTTCTGAAATAAGTTTGATTGAAGAATCAAGAATATTTGCACATCCAATGATTTCTTCATTGGATAGGCAATCTCACTCTGAATATTTTGCTAAAACCCTGCTACAAATTTCTCACAGTGGGAAAACTCATCAATAGGTAGGTTATACCCGTTTTTATGCTACCCTCTTAAACTTACGAGAATCAGCCTCTACTCAACACCAAAGGGTGAGATAAGATTAACACTCAAGAGCGAACAGAACATGCTTACTAAGTATGAATTACTGGCTTCACTAAAACAGGTTCTTACGTACCTGTCTCAATTACCACTGGGGATCATGACACATTTGGCAGCAATAGAAGGCTTCTAATTGCAAGACATAAGCCTGACAAATACTTGCATTAATGCTAAAATATGTCTGAAGCCTTCAATTAGTCACAGCATAAATTAAGTGAACAAATTTCAAATACATTCATCTCTTTAAAGTTACTTCTAACAAGCACCCTACAAGCCATATAAAGCAGCAAAGGAATTAAGAAATATAAACTTGTCAAGCCTGACATATACTTTTCTATCCCAAATTGTGTACTGTTTGTAAGAAAAGACAATAATAGAGAAAAACAAACAAACAAATGCAGACCAGCATTATGTAATAACCAATATAAAAAAAATCAACTATGGGATATACTCCAAAGATACTATCTTAGAAAAACAGTAATTTTTTCAACCATATGCTTTTAAGACAGAATTCCACAGCAGTTTTTCCAATTTTGATAAAATAAAATCCCATGAACTTTCACACAAACTGTATAGGCAGCACTTTTCTCTCAATTATTCCTAAAGAGCTAAAACAAGGTTCATGCATAGACATAAGGTCCGTATTCCAAGTTCTTGTTTTGGGTGCAAGCCTGTGTGGACACCTGTTTTTTGAAGTGAACCAGAATAGGGCTGAGTGACTTTTCTTTAACAAGGTCAGTGATAACCTCTCAGAGTTGGATAAAACAGCTTTATGAAGATAAAAATAATATACTTTCTCACAGTCTAATTATCTCCTGTCCCTTAGATCTTCTCAATGGCAGTCCTGCAGAACTGTCAGAACAGACTTATGCTAACTTCTTTAAAGTATTAAATATATATATATATATAAAACCAGAATAAAGAGAAAAAAAGTAGTCTAGTTAAAATATAGCTCTCATACACATAGGATTAGACTTATAAAACCATTTTTAAATACCTTCTAAACTCAGAATCTGCAAGCAACTCTTCAACAATTGTTCTCTTCCTTTGTTTCTTGGGGATTCGACTGTGGTAAAAGTCCACAGGAGAATCAACCACGGTTCCAACCTAGAAAATAAAAATTTTAAGCAGTCTTAGTGTAACAGGAAGATGTTCAGAGTTCTGCTCTGTTTTTCTTTATAACCCCAGTGACAATGTGGACAGGATACATCTATGTAGATGACCAGAATGGTATATTAAAAAAGTGGTTAAGTGTAGAACATCATAAGATGTAAGCAGTGTTTTATATGCAAAGTAACTTTTTTTTTCCCGTGTAGAGAGTCTGAATTTGAAACTTTATGGTTTTCAAGATTGAACTGCTGCATCAACACTTAACTTAATAGGCCAAACCCAGCTCTCAGCCTTTGAACAACTGCATGGCTATAACATTTTTCCAAGGAGGGGAAGAAAAGCCTTTTGACTCTCTTAGGTCTTTCCTCTCTCTGTCATCACCATGTTTCTGCTAGATGTCTAAACAGTAGTAAACTCTACTCTATTTTAACATCTCCAACCTGAAAAGCATTAGATTTATACTAGCTGGCATGTTAGTCACTTCACAGTGGAGACACACAGTGTAATTACTTCATGTTGTAAAAACTGACTACACCTCATTTTTTGGAACATTTCTGCCCCAAAATTTTCATGCTCAGAAACTTCAAAACACATAGAACAGTCTGAAGCAGAACAGTTGTATTTTGAGAAATGTTGACCATTGCCTCAAGTATGTTACCTAATCAAACGGATATACATACATGGAAACCAGGCCAAGTTCTATATATTCTTCAATAATTATTTCCCTCATCAGAAAGCTTCAGGGCTGAGAGCTACAGCAGCAGAAATTCTAGCTTATCAAGAAGCCAGTTGATGCCATTCAAAATACATAAACCAGTAAAATAGATGCTTATTATTTTCTATGATCTTGTCAGAAAAAAATAAAAAGAAAAAAAGAGGTGACAATCCAGTCCACTGAGGGCTAAGACTAGTGATTAAAATGTCTAGAATTAGAAATTAAAATATTTGCTCTGTTCCGTCCAGTAAAAAAAAAAAATCTAACACAGTTTTAAACTGAAGCCAAATAAAAAACATTTAAATAATTTTAAACATACATATTAAATAACTATAATATTAAATGAAAAAACAGAGGCTGCCAACAAATTAGGTAGAGAATAAGGATAATTGCTCAAAACTACATTATGCAATATTAAGTATTGCTGCAACTTTCTTACCTGGAAATATTTTGGTAAACCTTCTCTGTCATTCTTTTTATAAAAGTGCTTAGGGTCCAATGAAGCTCTCATCTTCAAAACCTTGAGATCATTTTTCAGTTCATTTGTGATTTCTGGGGCTTTCATACCAAACCAACCATCACCTGTTGTTTTCTCTCGCTCTGCCTAGGATATTATAACAAGAATAATTAAATTACATTCAATAACCAGGACAGGATAGAGGGTTCCTCACCACCCAAAAACATACAGCAATTACAAATTACCTTTGTACCTAGAGAAAGTATATCTTATGGCTGTTATTATGAGTAGGCCATCAGAGCTATATTAATCACAGATTTGTACTACATGAGGGCATTACCTTTCATTTCAGCTTCATTGTTACTTAAATGCCTAAAACAACGTGCAAGGCAGAAAGTGTTAAGATGTGTAAAAGTTGTCCTTTAAGATCTACAGAGAAACAAAACTGAAAGAGCTCCCCAGTTTAAAAGCACATGTTTAATCAAAGTTGTAGTTAAGCAAAATAGGCAAGGATTCTGCTCGGCTCTGATATCACATCAGAACTTACCTTTCCAACCTCTGACTGACACAATTAGCAAACAGACTTTGCTTCTCACAACTGCTTTTCATAAGATAGGTCAAGGAAGATCTTAACACTTCACCGTTCCTCTATCATGTGGGCCTGTATGTACACACAGCCCCAGCATGGGGTTTCCAACCTAATGTTCTGTCTTGTCTTTTGAGTTACTGGCTCTCCACTCACCTTGCGCTGTTTCTTCAGCTGGTGAAGGGACTCCCTAAAGGGTGGAACACATTCCTTTTTTTCAAAATCTGGAGTTATTATACTCTTTTGTAAGAGCTGTAAAAAAGAAAAAGAAATCCAGTAACATCAGGCAGTCATATGGTAAAATTTTACTGTTCACTTGTATAAACAGAAGCTACCAAAAAAATGATGTAGGGTCTAAGAAAGTAAATAAAAGTACGTTATTTATTAAAAGAAGATAGCAGTGACCTTCAAAACAGAAAGAAGGAGCAGAAACCTGCCAACAACAGAAAGTAGTTGGCTACCTTTTGAGAGAAAGGGGCAGTGAATATACCAGAGTATAAAGAGCAACTATCGACGAAGCCTAAGAAAAGTCTGAATAAAAATAATGCACTTCCTTTCTCACACAAGTGCTCTGAGATACAATTACCAATCCTATATTAGGAATGGTATAGAGCTGAATTTAGAGAAATTTATTCTTGCTATAGACTAAATACCCTGTTATCAGACCTGTTAGGTAAAGCAACAGACACAGTTAAATTCTCTTTATTGTACAGAATAACTCTGGTATTTGCACTTCTTTTCAGTTTCCTATGTCACATATTTATATTATCAGTATTAAAAGCAGTTAATTACACTTTCTAGACAGAAAAAAATGCCTCTGCAAAAGAGCATAGTAGGATATGTCTTTATAAATAATTAAAACAGAATTATTAAACATCTTTGTGTTACTGTGATTAGTTTGCTGTGCAATTGTAAACACATTACCTCATCTTTCTTCTTCTCCTTCAGTTGTTTAATTACGTTTGAGCTAGATTTTTGTTTTTTTGCATCAAAGCTAATATATAAACCTCCGAGCTTCTTAATACTCAAACCGGGATCTATACTGCTGGACAGATGTAAACTGAAAGAAAAAAGTGGAAGTGTAAAAAAAATTAACAAGCATCTGCTGTCCTCTGAGAAAGATAAACACAGAAAACATTTTCTTCTTCTCAAATAAGTGCAGTACTGCAAATTTCTTTTTGCGTTTTCTGTATTTAGAAGATTAAGATAGCTGAGAGAAAAAGCTTGCTATTATATGAAGTGAATGTTTAATACAGAGCACTACTAGAGCACTACTTCTAAAAATCCTTCACATAATATTAAACAAACAAAAAATCCTTAATTTCAGTTTTGAATATGTACTTTCATATACATACACACATACATTTAAGCACCTAAATATATATAACTCTATTTTATAATCTGAACCCCGGTTTCATGTGCATGACTTTGTGATGAAAAACTCCCTCATTTATTCCACATCACTTATCCTGTATGTACACGTACTACGTACTTCCCAAATAAAATGCAGATTCTTTAGTTATTCCCCCAAAGGTACTTACACATTATTCTTATTTTGCGACAGGACCTCTTGTCCATCCTTCTCATCTTCATCTATCAAATCCTCTTCCTCCTCATCTACATGTGAGGATTCCTGACCTTTTGCACTTCCTTCATGCTCACTTCCAGCATCACTAACTAGGTCTACCTGATCTAGGTAATACTGTTGGCTAGAACCCATGCCTGGCTCAGTATCAATTACAAAAAGCCCTTCGGCATGGAGTGTATTTTCTTTTAAAGATTTGTTCAAGGAAGGTGTTCTCTTATTTGCTGTTGTGTTAAGCAGTTCCTCTTCCTCTATACATACGTCTGCTATATCACTATATTCAGATTCATCACTTTCATCTTTATTCAGAAATAATGTGAAAGAATCATTTTTGCTGTTGGATCTTTTGCTGCCATGGGATTCAGGTTCGCTGCATTGTCCTGTTTCATCTTCATCACTGTTTACCCCAGTTTCAAGCATTCTGGATTCACCAGCAATGCTATCAGTCACTTGTGCAATAGGCCTGTCCTTTTGTGGGCTGCTTACTACATCAGACTGTTTATCCATGCTTAATTCATTAGCATGGTTGAAAGACTTCTGTACAGCTGCCTCATCATCTGCTCCTTCTTGTTCTGGATTTTTTTTGCTTTTATTTGGTGTTACTTGCCCTGGGAATTTTAAGGATTGTTTGACACTCATGCAGTCAGTCAAAGCAAGCTCCATGCTCTTTGGTTTCTCCCCTGCCATATGTATTTGATTGCACTTTTCTTGTATTTGGCCACATACTTCCTTTGAATCATCTGCAACAATCTCTGTATCTTTTATTGCCTTTTTTCTAGGCGATTTGGTGACACTTCTTTGCGTTACTTTTGCAAGACTGCTGGGTGTTTTATCATTCAAAAAATCTTGTTTCACATCTTCACTCAGGGTTGTATTAGCAGATCTGGGGGACTGTTTGCTCTTAAGAGAATTTGGTTCTTTATTATCCTGAGCAAGAGAGTTTTGCACATCAGAGACACATTTTGCAGCAGGTCCAGAATCTGAAATTGTTGTTGGCTCAGATTTAACTCTGTCTTCAATTAAAATCTGATCCTCTGAAACAGTTTTATTTGCTCTCTCAATCTGCTCAACATTTTCTGTTTGTGACTTCATTTGCATAGTCCTAGTAATTTGTTTGGTAATAACAGATGGCTCTGTAAGAAAGCAGCATGTCTCTGCATCAGAAATATCTTCGCCCTGGGCTTCAAGAATTGGGTCTGATTGGACTTTTTTTTTGCTTTGCCTGCTTCTTGTAGTTTTGGTAACATTAGGCGTCCGGACACCAGAAACAGCAGAAGAACACGACTCTGCTTCAGAGACATCATCTTCATCCTGAGTACTCATTAACTCATTTAGAAAAGCTGTCCTGTCTTGCCTTTTTTTGGCAGGAGAATCCGGCTGATAAGGAACTACTATCTGTCGTCTTCTTGTTACCCTTATGATCAACGGCGTCTGAAGACCAGGTACAGAAGAGCAGTTTGATTCTGTTTCGGACACATTCCCATCAGGTTGTGGTTCAGCACTTGATTTTGCAACAGTTTTGTTCTGATTTCTAGTTATTTGCATCTCTGAGGTATCACTGACATCTGATTTTCTTTCTGCATGTTCCAGCTCTTCAAGTTGAGATTCAGGAATTACCTCTGGCCTACAAGTTGCTTTACTCCTCCCTCTGGTCATCCTCATAGACACAGGAGTACTGTTTTCAGCAGATGCCCTCTAAAAAAGGAATGAAAATGCCTGCTATTCACAAATAAGATAACCTCAAAAAATATACATGCTTTTCTAAACACTAATGCCTCTGTTTAATCCTAAAAGATTCTAGAAAGCTAACATAGGAGGCAAACCTAAAGACAGCATTCAAAAAGAAATGTTTGCCCAAATACAAAACATTCCGGCCTAGCAACAGGCAGAAGGCATCCCAAAATGGTTGGGCTACCCAATATCCAACCTGCTTCCTACTGTGGCAGCTGCTTCAGGCACTGACAGGTCTCCTCGCCGGCTGCGCGTTACCTGGCGGGCAGAGCAGAACCCGGGAGCAGGTCGGGGCGCCGCCGGCAGGCGCCCTATTCCATT